AGCTAGCCTCTGTTATTCTACCAGCCTCTGCTTCCCAAGTAGCTAGGATTATTAAGTATGAGCTGCTGCCACTTGGCTTTTGTGGCATTTTATCTAATACACTTCAAAAAAACAAACCATTTCACTCTTTCTGTTTCTGATGGTACTGGAGACTGCACTCAGGTCCTCTAAAACAAAACAAGGCCTCCAGTCCCTTTTTCTTAGTTATTTTTGAGGCAGTGTCTCACTTTATACTCAGGCTAGTCTGGGCTGCAGTAATCCTACTTGTGCTTTCCCTATGTTGCTAGAAATGATAGATGCACTCTAATGTCTAGTCTCTAAGATTACATAAGTTCGTATAGCTTATTGCTTACACATGTAAAATTAAACACTGTCTGGATAGTAAATAGGAGAAAATTCCATTATACTAATAAAATACAGTGTCTAATAATAATATAAAAAATTTAGAATCATCCAGAAGATGCTTGTTTAAAAGAAATTAGCACTAATATCAGTCTTTACACTAATGTCTGTGTCCTACTCTTCAATCCTACTTCAATTGATCTAAAATGGGGCCCAAGCACCAGGATTTTTTTAAATAAAATGACCCCACAGGTGAGCTGAAGGTAAGGCAGATCTGAGAACCACTAATTTAAGATGGAAAACAAAAACAAAAACAAAATCCCAGCTGTCTGGGACATGAAGTTTTAAGTCCATAAAAACTTAAGGTATAGCTGGGCACCAAAAGCTCATGCTTGAAATCCTAGCCACTCAAGAAGACAAGACCTAAGGATCATGGTTCAAAGCCAGCCAGGGCAGGAAAGTCTGCGAGACTCTTATCTCCAATTAACTACCAAAAAGAGGTGAAACTGTAGCACAAGTGGTAGAGCATTAAGCCTTGAGCCCTGGAGCCTAGTCTCCAACCCCTAGGACTGGCACATACACAAAAAAATCTTAGGTATAAAATTAAGAGAAAAAGCTAATATAAAAATAATCCAAGCCAGGAGCCTGTAGTTCACACCTATAATACTACCTACTCAGGAAGCAGAGATCTGAGGACTGAGTTGAAAGCCAGCCCAAGCAGACAAATCCTCACTCTTCTCTCCAAATAACCAGCAAAATTCCAGAAGTCAAAGTGTGACTCAAGTAGTAGAGTACCAGCCTGGAGCAAAAACATTAAGCAAGAGTGGGAGGTCCTAAGTCAAGCCCCAATGGCAGCACCATCCATCCTCAAGGAAAAACCAAAAAAAAAAAAATCCAGACCTACCACATATTTTTCCTTTTAAAAATGTTAAAGCTTGGGCTGGGAATGTGACTCAGTGGTAGAGTGCTTGCCTTGCATTCATGAGGGTTTGATTCCTCAGCACCACATAAGCAGAAAAGGCCGGAAGTGGCATTGTGGCTCTAGTGGTAGAGCACTAGCTGAAGAGCTGAGGGACAGTGCCCCAGGCCCAGAGGTCAGACCCCATGACTGGCAAAAAAAAAAAAAAAAGCTTAAAGTCTTGAGACTTTACTGGTAAATCTTTTGTTATAATATTTTCTAAGCACTAACAAAAGCCTAAAAATACTAATAGCAAGGATATAATACAGATTATCAGCAGGGCACCGATGGCTCACGCTGTAATCCAAGCTACTCAGGAGGCTAATATATGAGCATGGCATTCAAAGCCAGTCTGTGAGACTTCTATCTCCAATTAGCTACCATAAAACTAAAAGTGGCCTTGAGCTGAAGAGCTCAGGGACAGCACCCAGGCCCAGAGTTCAAGCCTATGACTGACAAAAAAAAAAAAAGAAATGATTATCAGTAATTTTTTTCCAAATACGGCAAAGTATAAAACCTCAATGCAAGTGAAAGAACAATTAAAGTCTCTTTAGTAATTTCTACTAGTCTTAGTATTAGTTAAGACAATTAGTTCCCAATAGCTTCAATTATCCAGTGCTTTGAAAGAGAAAAACTCATGTGGAAAATAAAACATACAACAAGGACAAAGAATGACCCATTGCAGCAATAATACCCACAAGACAGTATATTGGAAATTGGAAATGACTTCGGGGCGGGGGGGGGGGGGGATAGTGGGAGAACAGCAAGGGAGGGTGTAACAATGCTCCACAGGAAATGTACTCTGCCTTATTCATGTAACTGTAACCCCTCTGTATAGCATTTTTACAATAAAACTTTTTTTAAAAAAGAAAATAAAACATACGTGGGTTTTTTTTTGGCAATACTGTGATTTGAGTTCAGGGCTAAGCACTTGCCATGCGGATACTCTATCACTTGAACAATACCCTAGCCTCTTCTGTTTTATTCTCAGATAGTCTTGTCTTTTTGCCTGGGTCAGCCTGAGACCATCATTATCCTACTGGCTGGGATCCTGCAAAGCTGGGATTAAAGACATGAACTATTATATTGTACTTATTTGCTAAGATACGGCTTGAACTTTTTGTCTCAACCTATGAATTTCCCACTTTCCACCTCTTTAGTTGCTGAGTTCATGCCTTTATAGGTTGTTTGGAAGGCAATACAAAAAAAGAACTAATAGGCACAGAGCATTGTGAAAGGGGCACATCCTCCTATATGATCATCCTACATTAAAAATATTACTTCTATATCAGGGTTCAAAGAAATGACATAAATATTTGTAATTTGAACACTATTTCTCATAAATCTATTTTATCTAATATTCACTGAAACAATTACTAGGATCATACTCCAACAGGATGGAGAATAAATATCATAGCTTTTAAACATATCTCAGAGTATGTTTATTACAAACTAGGCAAAAAACTTTTCAAAGTAGCCCTGCATTTTGAGTTAAATTAGAGAATTAAATACATCATAATCCAAACTTCAGTGACTCACATAAAACTAATAATGGACTAACTACTGATGCCCTGGTTCAAAATGTAAGAGGTAAAATTTTGACATGTTTCAGAGAAACAGCATTTTCAATTCAGAATGTTTTAGATAAATAATGGGTATTTCCATGTTATTAAAAAGTGGGATTTGAATCTAAAATCTACAGTTTTATTAAACTACTTCAACATCTGTTTTATGTCATAGAAATAAACCTATAATAGCTTGTTACTGGAATGACTTCAGAAAACACTAATGTAATATCACATACAGATATTATTCAGAGACACAAAGTAAGAATATTCATACATTCTTTTACATCCATTTCTCCTGAAAAAAACTGAAGAATTTTATGTTTTCTTCAAATAGTGTACAAAAACATTTCAATTTAACATGCCCATTTATATACACAATGCATCATGATCAGTCACCCTTTCCATCATTCCTCCTCTATCCCCTCCCCATCTGTCAAGTTTCCTCCTTCAGTTTTCATGTATATACATTCAGTATTATGACAATTGCATTTACCCTCATTCCTTTTTTCATTTGTCTACTCCTTTCCTTAACCCTCACTACCCTCAGTTAAAACAGGTTTCAGCTTTCTGGTATCCATTTTACTAAACTGATCATTGTTCCAATCTCACTCCTGAGTATACATAGCATCCTTTAGTTAGTTTGATCAAGTGTATATACTTATGGCCTTGTGTGCATTTTCAAATATGCTTATATTTATATCTAATTTCCACATATGAAAGAAAACATGCACCTTTGTCTATCTGAGCTTGATATAATTCATTCAGCATGATTTTTTCCAGGTCCTCCCACTTCCCTAATAATGATATACTCTTCTTCCTGTTAAAATAATAAAATTCCACTGCGTGTCTGTGTGTGTGTGTGTGTGTGTGTGTGTGTGTGTGTGTGTGTATGTGTGTAATACACTTTCTTGCTGATGCAAAATTTTCAAAAAATACTCAGCCTCAAAAGGGACATTCGGTCAAGAACAGTTGCTAAACTGGATCCTACTTACTGGCCCAAGAACATACACAACTTAACAGTCATCTTTCCAAACTAATAAAAGCTTTACCCTGTAAAGAACAGCTGATAAAAGAGCAGTGGAATAACCACACCCCTTAGATCAGTTGTTATATGACTGCCAAACTGTGCATATATATACATAAGCACACTGATTACATATACACACACTAACATTCTCCATTTAATTACTAGCCCCACTCTAAAGACAGTAAGTAAACAGAAAGGGGAAAGATGCCCTGTCCTAACTATCTGTAGACTTAGGATCCACTAAAGGGTGTCTAGATGGATGAGTGAATAGGTGGAAATAGATAGATAGATGTAAAAATGTATTGGGAGGATGAAGCACAAAAGAACTGTGAGGAAATCAATATATGATTCAGTGCTAAGATGTGTTAATCAGATTTAGGTTGACAGTTTTAGAGGTTTCAGCCTATGGCTGGGAGCATGCAGTAGTGGAAAGAAGTTTACTTCATGGTGAACAGGAAGCAAAGAGGAGGGGGGGAAGTAGGGAGGAGGAAGGAAAGAGACAAGGAGCTAGACAGGTGTATCTTTCCAGAGCGTGCCCCAGTGACTTATACCTCCAACTAGGCTCCACCTTCTACAGTTTCTACCACCTCCCAAAATAGCATTACCAGCTGAAGACCAAGATTTTACATATGAGTACTCTGGCAAACACTTCATATCCTAGCCTTAACAGATGATAAAAAAAAAAAAACACGTAAGATCTATCATGGAGTAAATTTGAGCTAGACAAACAAATGGATAATCACATCATCAAAAGCAAAAAGACCACCTGGCAGCAGTGGCTCACATCTGTAATCCTAGCTACTCAGGAAGCTAAGCTCTAAGGATTATGGTTTGAAGCCATCCAAGGCAGGAAAGTCTTTGAGATTCTTATCTCCAATTAAGCACTAAAAAAAAAGTAGAAAGTGGAGCTGTGGCTCAAGTGGTAGAGTGCTAGCTTCAAGCAAAAGAACTCATGTACAGCACCCAGGCCCTGAGTTCAACCTCTAGGACTGGCACTAAAACAAAGGAAAAAGAGATACTCATAGGAAAAGATCATATGTTTTATATTTTGAAGTTTAAAATTTTTTTCTTACTATAACTAAATCTGAAGATTAATTTATCTTACCTTCCACAGAAGGTGCCTGGTCTTGAGCTGAATACAGCATATCCTTGAAAGCCTATCAAAAAGAAAGAAAAGCAATATAGGAAATCATTAAATAAACTTTATATTGAAAATGTTCAAGTTAGACAGTACTTTTTCAATATCCAACTACTAAATTTAGTTAACCAAATATAGAATTTAGTGAAATACTTCAATTAACTTTTAAAACCTATCCATTACTGTCTAATCCTTAGGATAAGAGCTAATTTATACACTTTTAAAATTACACAGCAAATGGCACAAGAATAGGCCTAAGGACCAATGGAATAGAAGACCCGGAAATGAACCCATAGACCTATAACCACATGAAATTTCATAAGGGAGGCTAAAACACAGGGTGGAAGAAAGATAGCCCTTCAACAAATGCTGCTGGCAGAATTGACAGAAAACTGAAGTTAGATCCTTATGTATCACCCTGCACCAGAATCAATTCCAAATGGATCAAAGACCTCAATGTAAGGCCAGAAGCCATGAAAATATTACAGGAATGGATAGAAGAAAATTAGGACTCCTAGGCACAGGTTGAAACTTCCTAAAAAGAGATCCAGAATCACAACAAATCAAAGAAAGACTGGATAAATGGGATTGCACCAAACTGAAGAGTTTCTGCATAGCAAAGGACATAGCTAGAAAGATAAATAGCCCACAGAATAAGAGATCTTCACTAGCTATGTATCAGACAAGAGCCTCATATTTAAAATATACTTAAGAAATCAAAAAATTAAACCCCCCAAAAACAAATACTCAAAGAAACAATAACCCAATTAATAAGTGTCTTAAAGATTTAGAGAGTTCTCAGAAATAGAAATAAGAATGGCCAATAGACACATGAAGAGATGTTCATCATCCCTGGACAAAACAACATTGAGATTCCACCTCGCCCCAGTTAGAATGGCCACTATCAAAAACTCTTAACAATAAGAGATGCTGAGATATGTGGCCAAAAGGGAACGCTACTACACAGTTGGTAGGAATGTAAACTTCTTCAGCTACTCTGGAGAGAAATATGAAAGTTCCCCAAAAGACTAAATATAGAGCTTCTCTATGACCCAGCAATTCCACTCATGGGCATTTATCCAATTGACCACAAACTAGGCCACACTAAAGCTACCAGTACATTGCAGCATTATTTACCATAGCCAAGATATGGAATCAACCCAGATACCCCTCATTGGACAAATGGATCAAGAAAATGTGAGTGTGTATATATATATATGTATGTGTATATATATATATAATGGAATTCTATGCTTCCATTAGAGAGAATGATATTGCCTCATTTGTAAGGAAATGGACTTTTAAAAATTAAGTGAAGCCAGATACAAAGAAACATAGGTCACATGGCTTCCCTCATTTGTAATAATTGAAATTGTGTCTATAAATCTACAAGTAAACACAATGGATGATAAAAAAAATTATACTTGGACATGATAAATTAAATAGGACTCTAAATATTCACACAGTGAGACCAAAGGAGAATATTCTTAGGAGAGGATCACAAAGGATCAATAGCTATTTGCAAATGATCACATAAAATGATGTTTATAGAAATGAACCCCAAGAAATGGAAAAGTGTTTAAGAGATTTTTTATTTTACTTTTCATGATTTTGTTTTTCCTCTTTTGTCACTGTAGATTTTGCCTTGTATGTAAGTTCGTGTGACCCACAGAAATAGTGGGTCAAAGGGTGAATTAATTCAGCAGTGATACTCACTAGACATTATATTGAAAATGAACTATACAACTTGGGGGACTCGAAAGGGAAAAAATTGTGAGAAAACAAGGGAAAAGGTGACACTGTTCAAAAGAAATGTACTCATTACCTCACCTATGTAACTGTAATCCCTCTGTACATCACCTTTACAATAAAAAATAAAACTAAACAGCACTAAAAGAATTCTTAAAAATCACGTGAAGAGCATACACTCTCTGAACTAAGCAAAAACAGTGGGGGGAAAAAAGAGGAACAGAAATCCTAGAGAAATACACTGGAACACTGCACACTTTTTTTAAAGTAATAAACAGAATACAAGCATAAGTTTGTTTACCGGGCACATAGCCATTGATACCAATATCAACCCCCAGTCCCCAGAAGTCCCCAAAGAGGCAAAATATCACCCCCCTCCCAAAACCACCAGCCAATAGTTGTTCAAGTATTATAAATATCAAAAAGGAAGAAGTAAACCTCCAGGGTAACCTACTCATCTTCCAAAAGAGTATTCACATCTAGTAATTATATTTTCCCCTAGTGAATTCACTATTTACTTGGGGTTAACAAAACTTAACAATAAGTAAAAAGGTGCTGATGTCTCATGCCTGTAATACTAGCAACTCAAGAGGCTGAGACCTGAAAATCCCAGTTCAAAGCCAGCCCAGGAAGGTAAGTCCATGAGATTCTTATCTCCAATTAACCACCAGAAAAACTAGAACTATGGCTCAAAATGGTCAGAAAAGCTCAGGGACAGTGCCCAGGCCTAAGTTCAAACTCTATGACCAAAAAAAAAAAAAAAAAATCCAGTGAAATAAGAAAATTTAAAATTCTTAAAACTGGTTCATTTTTATTCATTTTAACTCATGGGGTTTTTTTTGGGGGGTTGGGTTTTTTTTGGGGGGTCCCGTCATGGGCCTGAACTCTGTGCCTGGGCGCTGTCCCTCAGCTCTTCAGCTCAAGGCTAGCACTCTACCACTTGAGCCACAGCGCCATTTCTGGCTTTTTTTTTTCTGCTTATGTGGTGCTCTACCACTGAGCCACCTTCCCAGCCCTTAACTCATGTTTTATACAAGTATTCATAAGACAATAATACAAATACAAAATTGTTTCTGTCACATATGCTTAAATCCAAAAATATGCAAAAATATTCAAAATTCACTTATAAAATTTGAGGCAATATAATAATATAACTGAAGTACAATAATAAAACCAAATATTTAGGAGTGGAGGAGTTGTTCAAGTGGTAGAGCATCTGCTAGTAAGGGCAAAGGCTGAGTTTGAACCCCAGTACAGTCAGAAATAAATAGATAAATAATTACCTATATTTGGTCTTTGTGTCTACTTCAAGGCACTGAGCTTATAAAATGTTTAGAATTTAACTGACTTTTTTTGTGTGTGAAAATACCGTAGAAAGGAGTAAGGTAATGAGTGCATTTCTTATCAAGCATTGTTGCCTCCTCCTTTGTTTCCCCTTCTGATCCCTTTCCATCCCCCCTACCCTCCTGCCAAAGTTGTAAAGTTCATTTTTGACATAACATCTTGTACATCTCATTGTTGCAATGGGTCCACTTGTATCCCTATTTAAACAATTTGTTTTTTCCCTTCCCCTCCACAAATGATACCAGCATCAAACACAATTAAAACAGGGGTTATACCATGGGGAGGGACATACAAAGCAACAAAGAACCATCTTATAAATATGTTTAATTGACTTTTATATGCTTGTAAGATGGGTCAATGATGGGTAGGTGTGGTCCCAATAGTTTCAGGAGGTGGGCTATTCACAGAAAAACCAAACGATAAGGTTACTATCTCCAGATATATGGGGATGATAGAGAGAAGTCAAGTTCAATCACCAATTAAAATTCTTTAATCAATCATGCCTGTGTACTTACAACTCAATTAAATCCTCCAACACCCAGGCTCATGGAGCTTCTCAATGTTTTAGAAATGGCATGGAAAACGTGTCATCTCAATCCTCATAGTTTGCATTATGCAGCTCATCTTGTAAGGCTATTTCTAAGCTGTATGCTTTCTAATGAATTTGTAATATTAAGCATAGTTATTTCCCAAGTTCTGTGGCCCTTTTAGCAAATTATTAAACCTGAGGAACAGTCTTGCAGTTAACCAGGCAGAAGTCTTGGTAGCCTGGCAACCCTATTTGTATGTGGCATTTCAAGTGGGAGATTCATGTGGAACCCTTAACCTAAGTATGCAGTCTGTGCTAACCACAGGTAGTGTCATAACTGAATTAACTTCAGACACCCAATTGCTATTGGATAATTGGCTGGTTGGTGTTGGGGGGGAAAAAAGTAACACATCTGGTGTTAGAAATGTTATCATAAGTTAGGCACTAGTGGCTCAAGCCTATAATGATTAAGTTACTAAGGAAGCTGAAAACAGGATCTCATTTCAAAAGCAGCTTCGGCAGGAAAGTCTTTGAGATTCTCATTTCCATCACCAAAATGTGGTGGGAGAGAAAGAGAGAAGTGATACTGTCCAAAAAGAAATGAACTCTTTACCTGACTTATGTAACTGTACCCCCTCTGTACACCACCTTTATAATAATAATTTTTTTAAGCTGCAAATGGATCTGAGTTTCAAGTGGTGGAGTGCCAATCTTGAGCAAAAAAACTGCCAGGAGCTTCTAGCTAATGCCTGTAATCCTAGTTACTCTGGAGGCTGAGATCTGAGGATGGCAGTTCAAAGCCAGCTCCAGGCTAGCCTGGAACAAAGAAGCCAGGAACACAGCTCAAGCCCTGAGTTCAAGCTCTAGCGCTCTCACCCTCGTGCCCTCTCTCTGTGCCCTCTCACCCTCTCTCTCTCTCTCCCTCTCTCTCCCTCCCTCTCTCCCTTCCCTCCTCCCCCCCATCAGCAGCCAGGCCTTGCATTCAATCTCCAGTACCAGCAAAGAAAGGAGGGGAGAGGGGCAAGGGGAAGGGGGAAGAGGGGTCAGGGGAAAGGAGGAAAGGAAAAGGGAGAGGGAAAGGGGAAAGGAAAGCGAAGGGCAAAGGAAGGCAAAGAGAAAGGAAAGAGAAGTAAAGAAGAAAATCAAAGGAAAAGAAAGGGAAGGGAAGGAAAGAAGAAAATCAAAGGAAAAGAAAGGTAAGGAATGAGGAAAGGAAAAAGGAAAAGAAAGGAGGAAAAGGAAAGGTGAAAGGAAAGGGGAAGGGGGAAGGGAAGGGGAAGGGAAAAGGGAAAGAGGGAAGTAAGAAGGAAAGGTGGAAGGGAAGAAGGAAAGATACATGTGACAAAAGTCAGGAGCCTCTTTTGAGAAAAATACATAATTAATATGATCTTTGTACT